TTTCCTTTCCTCTGACCCTCCCACTACACCTACCCTTTTGGACCTTTCGTTCCTAGGCCCGATTATTTTTTTAAAATTAATTTTATTGATACATTTTAAGTATACAGAATAATGCCATTCATCGTTGGAAATTTGTACCTTTACATAATATATCTTGGTTCTTATTTTTTCCCATTTCCCTGCCCTCGCTTCAGCCCCTCCACCCTGAAATTATTTTGATTTGGTTTTTCTCCAGCTGCTTCTAGTATTTAAAAAAAAAAGAAATGAGATGGAATCTCTATATGTTGCCCAGGCTGGCCTGAAACTTGACAATCTTCCTGCCTCAGCCTCCTGAATAACTGGAACTGTAGGTGTGCAGTACTGTGCCTACCTCTTCCAGTGGGCTTTATACCTTAGGAATGTTTTGGAGCTTGTGTATAAGTTTCATTAGGGTACCCATAGTACAGTTTGTAGATGCAGAGAAATTGTTATTCCTACTTGATCTCTTACCAATTGGGAGTCCTCAGCCAGGATTCCTATCTACCTTTCCACAGCCATAGGAAGGGCTGTGGTCCCCTATATGCCCAGTGTTCATAAGCTGAAAGGAATTTAGCAATGCCTGTTTGTTCAGGCCTTATATGTTCAGAGATAAGGATTTTCCTGTTTTCTGGATATAGGGAGTGAACCTTTAGAATGAGTGACTTCGGGGGAAGGTCACATAGGTTTTATGTCTACTTCAGGGAAGAAAGGACGAGGGGAAGGTGAAAATAACCTTCTTGTTTCTGTTCTTTTCTCAAATGACAAAATGCCACATTTTGGAGTAGTGTGCCCAGAATGCTACCAGAGCACCCTCTCACTTCCTTTGGGTGTGAGGAACAGGCAAGGAGGGTTGTGACCTGCAAAGGCACAGCATTTTTCCCGAGGGGTACTCTGTCTCGGATCCTGTGATATCTTTGCATCACTCACCAGTTCTCTTAAAGATGGGTGTTTGCACCACTCAGTTGTGGCTTCGTAAAATGGCAAAGGTTAGTGTCTCACCTAGTTAGTTTTCTTTAGAAGGCCTGATATTAGAGCAATTGTGTCACCAGTTTTAAGTATCCACATCCAGCCAGGATATTAGGTCAGCTCTTACATTAAAACTCTTATAAATTAAATGGTTGTTTTAAAAATTTTTTTATATTAAGATCCTTAATTTTTTTCCGATTGCTGGGATTGAATTGAGGGCCTCACTCACATATGCTAAGCACATGCTGTGCAACTGAGCCTCACCTGAACCTCAGCCCCTAAAATTCCTGTTTTTAAAGATGTTTTTCCAGTATTTATTTGGATTTATATGACTAACAGTTTGTTTTTCTATGTGTGTGTTCAGTTTTCTGTAGCAGTATTGACATTAGAAGTTTAGTAACTTCATATGCAAATAGAGGTGCTATCTCTATCTTGCAAAGTTGTGACAATTAAATGAAATGGCAGACAATAGGAGAGCACCTGACTTAGTAATATTCATTTCTTTTCTTTCTTCACTTTCTATTTTATTTTGCTGTTGCTTTTGTTAGGTAAGAGACTTAGCTGTTAATTTAAAATTCATAGATGATAAAATTAATCAAAGTAGCCAAAAGTTAGGATGGTGTTTATGCTAAGCATTGAATTAGATTACATATTGAGGGGGAAAAAATCATGGAAGAATTTACATGTAGTGAAATATCTAGATCTTGCCATGAGTTTGACAAATGTACCTGTTACCTACACCTCTATTGAGGTACAGAACATTTCATTCACTGTAGAAAGCTACCTGTGCCCTTTCCCACCCCTACCCCTCCTTCCTGAACTTGAGCACAGTACTGTATGTTCTAGAACTTTGATAAGTGAAATCATACAGTTTGTATACTTAGCATGTCTGAGCAACTCAGTTACGTTGTCACAGGTAACAGGAGTGTGTTTCTTTTTATTGCTAAATAGTATTTTATTTTATGGATATGGATATAATATGTTTATCAGTTCTGTTGTTCAGAGGCATTTGGATTTTATCGTTTTTGGCTGTTACAAATAAAATTTCTCTGAGCATTCTTTTAGAAATCATTTTGTGAACATATGTTTGTTTCTGCTTCTGTTGGATGTATGCATGAGAATAGAATTGGTGCATTGTAGGTGTATTCTGCGAAAAAAAAGGCCAAGTTGTTTTCCAAAGTGATTATACTGTTCCTCACCCCCAGCAGAGTATGGAAGTTATGATTGTTTTCAGATACATCAAGTACATTTTAGAAATTCAGGACTGGGGGAGCTAATTTTTTTTTTGATGTAAGTTCTTTAGTCTGATGTTACTTCAGATTGGAGAACTTCAGATAAGATGATGTCATGAGATCTGATTTTAATATATAAAAATGCAGGTCATATTGTTGCTTGCTGTTAAACTTGGATGAGTTTTATACAGCTCTTTCTTTTCCAAAATATTGAAATACTTAATAACATGTGTCAGATTGTTGCATACATTTTACATTACTCCACTTGGCAGTAGCTTTTATTTATGGGAAAGGGATAAGTTTGGTTAAGGACATCTGTTCACTGTTAGCTTCTTTTCTCCATGGTTTATACAGGAGCCACCAAAGGTATTAAAATTGTTGCTTCTCTTTGTTTTTTATGTTCCTGTTTTAGTAGTAAACAAAAGCTATAGGAGGAAGAAAAGTATAGGCATTAAGATAAGTCTGTCTATGAATAACCTAGAAGCTTTAAGTCATAGCCTTAAAATGGCTGCTATATAAGGTGGTAATGTTAAGAAACTGTGTTGGAATGTGACAAAAACCAAACAACAATAAAAAGAAACTCTTGTTTTGGCTGAGTGTGGTGGTATACACCTGTACACTCCTGCAATCTCAGCACTCTGGGAGGCTCAGTGAGGCAGGAGGATCACAAGTTTGAACCCAGCCTGGGGAACAAAATGTCTTAGTGAGATGCTGACTAAAAAATAAAATGGGCTGGGATGTAGCTCAGTGAGAAGACTCTGGGTTCAATCCCTACTACCATGGGGAAGAAAAGAAAAACATTTAAAGTGATATGTAAATATAAAGTTTGCTGTTGTACCTTTGAATTCAGATAATAGGATAAATTCAGATAATACAAAATAAATGAGGTAGTAATCTAAGTATAGGAGACATGAAATAGTTATGTTTTATTGCTGCAAGATTTGTTATTGATTGCTTTATTAGTAGGGTGATTTTAATTTTTATCTAACAAGATTCTTTTGAAAATGAAGAGAGGCACTATTAATAATGAGTAGTGGGATAATAGGAATAAGCAGGACTGCCCTGGAGAATGAGAACCTTCATATATAGGTGACACAAATCAAGTGTCTCCTCTGCTTGCAAGGTAAATTTTTTTAGCAAAGTCTAAATTTAAGTGGTTTGCTTTTACTTTTTAATTTGTTATATGCATTGTTTGTACCACAAAATATAAGTTCTAAACATATTGATATTTGTAGAATTATTTTAATTTTAGAAAATCTCTACCTTTTTTTTTTTTTTTAGTACCGGGGATCGAACTCAGGTCCTTGCACTTGCGCAGCAGGCGACGAACCCACTGAGCTAAATCCCCGGCCCGAGAAAATCTCTACTTTTAAGCATTCTTGCTACATTTTTCCGAGCCATATCAAATAACTGAATGTAGAAGAGTAAATTCTTAGTCATAAACACTGTTATAGCAAGTACTTTTATATTTTATTTTTATTATTTTACGTACTGTAATTACGACTATCTTTTTTTTCCTTCCAGACAAATTACGAAAACAGAATATATAGCCTGAAAGTAGAATGTGGACCTAAATACCCAGAAGCTCCTCCATCAGTTAGATTTGTAACAAAAATTAATATGAATGGAATAAATAATTCCAGTGGAATGGTAAGTTAAAATAGTCCTTTTATTCTTACGTAATATAGTCCAGAGAAAGTTTTTAAAAGCTTTTGTTCAGCTGAAAGTCTAAGTTTGTTTTAATGTTGTTCTATATAAAGTAGTCTCTCCTTAAAACCTTAATGTACTTCTTAGTTAGATAAGAAGATGATACTTTTCTTACAGTTTTAGTCACTGCATCAGTAGTCATATTTCTCTTGAATTCTCACTTGGTGAAAAGATGACCATTATTTCTTGCTCTCTTTTTATTTTATGTTTTTGTCATTTGAGATGAGGTTTCACTCTGTAGTCCAGGATGGCTTTGAACTCATGGGGATCCTCCTGCTTTAGCCTCGAGTGCTGGGATTACAGGGCTGTACCACCACGCCCTGCTCTATTCTTTCTCTTTAAATGTTACTTTTCTTTAGGAGTAAGGTACATTTGTGAGATTAAAAGGATAAATATTAGGAAGGAGTTGTTGGAGGGACAAGTGTGTCATGACAGCATGTGTTAGGGTTTGTATCTAGATGTCCCCCAAAGCCTCATGTGGTCATAGGCTCGATCTAGAGTGTGTGAAGCTGAAATTGATTTCATGATGCAATGTTAGGCTTAAGGGCACCAGGATTAAGGGTATGTGATTACTAAGTCAGTCCACTGAACGGTTTGGCACTACCCTACTTCCAGTAGTATAAAAGGGGCAGGGAGCCGCTGTTAAGGTCCTTTGTTGCCTTGGCTACCTTGTGCATGCCATGCCTGTTTGCCATCCCTGTCTTGGAGCCAGCCAACTATAGACTGAAATCTATGAACTGTGAGCTAAATAAACCCTTTCCCCCTTAACTTTGGGTGTCAGGTATTTTGTCTTGGTAACAAGAGAAAAGTAACCAACACAGCATGGTTGTCTCATTAAAGCACATAAACTAGAAGGTTTATTTGTATGTACCTGACTCAGGTAAGGTTGTAGAAATAGCTGAATTTCCAATATGAGTAGATCGTGAGGTTCATGTTAAGACTTTGAAGCCCAGGCGGTCTTTGTACCACATTGAGAGCACACTTAAATGCAGAATAGATGTTAGAAAGCAAAATAATATCATCCTCCTAAGATAAACATCGTCTGTCTCAGGAAGTAAGATGTTTTCAGTACCCTCGGTTTCTTTTGGGTTCCTGTTCACCCTGTCCCCACCAGTCTGCCCACCAGTGTGTTGCATACCGTTCATGTAAATGTTACTTTCTCAGAAGACTTTTTCAATTCCTTGATTTGAATTATGTCCCTTGTGTTACTCTGTTGTAGTCTGTAGTCATCCTGTTACTGTGTTTTGGTGGTGCTGGGATCAGATATTTTTTTGTATTTTTTTTCGATAAACTATTATTTATTAAATTATAAATTTTTTGATCAAAAAGAAAAATGCAGACAAGAGAAACCTCAGACTACAAGGGATAGACAGCAAAGCTTATGGGAAGGAATGCCATGAAGTGTGTTACAAAGATTGAGTCAAAAGTTATTAGCTGTTTTCTTTACATTTCCATTTCAATAACTTTACTATAAAATTGGTGTTACTCACCTATTTTTAAGCCAAATTCACATTTATCTCCACATTACGTTAAGCTTCCTGCTCATGATACCAACATCTCACAGGTGCCAAATTTTAGTAATACTTTAATGCCAATCCATGCAGAAAAATCACAGTGCCAGTCAGGTGAGGACCATTAATGCACAAATACACACACTGGCCAAAAGAACTAAAGAAATTTTTTAAAAGAACTATAAAGAAAGCAGATGTTAAGAAAACTGGGTTATTACTAAACAGGTCTCAACTATTAACACCCAGGTTCCTTACATTAAATAATTATTTCTCAACAGAGACATGTTAGACGTTTAGTTTTTCAGATTTATCCTTCCTAGAACCATTCTCACCCATCTCTCAAAATGCACTACTAGGCATGAGTATAATGTTATGTGGGCAGAAATTTACAGATAACCACCCAACCGTGGGCACGGAACGGAAGACATCGGTTTAAACTTCTGCCCTGTCCATCAGGTCTTCTGGATCTGAAGCTCACTGTTCCACCCCCTGCTACTGACTGACCAGTCATTTCCTGATTAATCAGCTACTGTCCGGTTTGCATTCAGCACCAATAGTTTCTGTTGGGTCAAGGAATGCTGTGCAATAACTGCAGATGCATCCTCACTATCACTACCGGCATCTGACTCGGTTTCTTCAATGGAGGTGTCTGGCACCCTGCCTGAAGACAGGGATTCATGGTCTTCTCCTCCTTCCCTATGACGCCTCTCATTTATCCTGTCTCCACTGAGTTGCAAATGAGTGAAAGAGTCTTCCAGAGAAGTGCCTGCATCAGGGGATGGTGTGGCAGGGCTGGTCAACTGCCCATCCACTGATGTCATTAGGGGCCTCACAGCAGACGACACTGAGGCTGGACAGACGCTCCGCTCTGCTGACATGCTGTCTGTGCTGTCGGCAGAGCTCTCTCTTTGCTAGGTTTACGGAATTTGCATCACAGTCCAGCCTAAGTCCAGCTACTCCTTTCTTTGGTATAGCTATTATATCTCGCTGAGTCTTCCTGCGACATCCATGTTAGTTTCTCCTATACTGAACCATATTTTCAAGATCAGCAACATACAGAAAACCAGCAGTTAACATTTCAGTGTTCTTTGCGCTCATCATACTGCCACCATCCATTTCTTCCTTCATAATACCATGCATATTTGCCATTCCCTCTGCTTGCGGCCTTGAGTTCTTCTGCCGACAAGGTTGGCTGACGTAAATTCTCAGGAATTTCTTGACGACAAAGGGCATATTGCTTTCCAAGCCATAAAGCTCCCTTTACACACAGATAGCAGAAAACATGCTTACAGGGCAGACTGGGTGAACACATGTTTGCAGACAAATGGCATATTCAGGAACAGTCAGAGAAGGTGCGGCCTTAGAACAGGCCTTGTTTGCTTTGCTGTTCATAGGAAGTATGTTTATTGAGTGATCGATTTCACCAGAGCCAGCCATCATTTCTGTTGCAGATCCCACAGGTGCCCGCCCCCCAAGACAAAGCATCTTTTTCCACAGCAGCCAGCTAGCTGGCAGCATTTTTTTTTTCACTGCCGGTTTATTCTTTGGGCTCAGCCACGCCCCCGCGGGCTCTGCTCTGCCTTTTTTGCAGACCGCAGCCTTCACGTGACCAGGGTGCTGGGGGTGGGGCGCGGCCACAGACCTTTTTTTGTATTTTTAAAAGAAACATTTCTGACATGTGGACAACTTTTATAAAATGATACAGCCAGGGCCGGGGGTTTAGCTCAATGGTTCTGCCGCCTGCCTGGAAAGTTCAAGGTCCTGAGTTTGATCCCCGGTACCAAAAATAAATAAATAAAATAAAATGATACAAGCAACTTCTGTTTATCTTCCACCTAGCTTTGTCATATCTTAACACTTGTCTTATTTGTAACACTTTTTTTTTTTGGAGATGAGGTCTTGCTCTGTAGTTCAGGCTTGCCTTGAACAACTCGTGGTTCTCCTGCCTCAGTCTGAGTGCTGAGATTACAGGCATGTGCCACTGTACCTAGCCTTCTATAGCATTATCTTTTTTTTTTGGTACCGGGATCGAACTATAGCATTATCTTTTTAATGCAGAGTATATTGTAAATAAAGAGTTAACTGTATGGCTTTCTCGTTTCTCCTTCATCCCTTCATCGTTTTGCAAAGTAGTGCCATCTGGATTTGTTGTTTATCATTTCTGTGTATGATTGTGATCTCACTATATACTCATGGGTGTATGCTTCTGTATTGTATCACTTTTAAAAATCTTATACTTGCCAGCCATTGTTAGGATCATCTGTGTTAGACCCTGCAAATTAGTTTAAGTACCTAAATTGTAGTCCATAAGCATCAATAATGGGTGTTGCTTTTGTAATTTTGGTTTATATTTAATTCAACTAGCATTGTAAAGCATACATTAGAGTACATTGTGCTGTGATAGCTCAAGATTTGGAGACTATTTTGTTTATTGCAGACTGATAAGATACAGATTTTGTACTGACATCATATTTATTTCTCTTGCTCCCCTCCCGGCCCCGACCCCCTTTGGACTCTTGGTATTTCACAAGATTTGCAATCACTTATGTTTATGTAACTACCATTTACATCTGGAAGTGTTTGTTTCTGCTTTGGAAGTAGCCTGGTGTTCTCTCCACTGATTTTATAAATTGTGCATTTATGGACTCTTTAAAATAGGCTAAGGGAGTTACTATTCTTTGAAAGTGTTAGAGGAGGTTTTGAAAATATGTTTAAGTTTATAATATTTTTCTTATTTTAGTAAGAGAATTATTACTCATGATTTTCTCTACATTTAAGTGGTTTATTGTGATATAATTCACATACTGTATGATTCACCCATTTAAAGTATACAGTTGAATGTTTTTTAATATTTAAAGGATTGTGGGTTCATTACTGTATTCCAGTTTTAGAATATTCAGAATATAGAATGCAAAATCTATACCTGTTATTTGTCGTACTTCCTTCACCCTAAACAGTCACAAATTAGTTATGTTTACACATTTACCTATTCTGGACATTTTATATGATTGAAATAATATATGTTCTTTTGTGGATTAACAATATTTTCAAGATTCATTCATTTGTAGCATGTGTCAGTACTTTATTCTTTTTTATTATTGCTGAATAATGCTCCATTTTATAGATGTATTACATTTCATTTATCTATTCATCAGTTGATGAGTATTTGTATTTTTCCACTTTTGGCTATCATGAACAACGCTACATTTACAGCTAAATGGATGAGCCTTGAGACCATACTCCTAAGTGAAATAAATCGGATACCTGTGTTTAAATACTGCATTGTTTCTTGGGTGTGAAAAACCAGCAGGGGAAATAATATATAATGGATGTTGGGAAATGGGAAGAAAGTGTTCAAATGGGAAGGGAAACAAGGGAGGAGGGAGAGACAAAGGGACAAGGGAAAAAAAAAGAAAATAGAAGGAAAAAATA